ATGAAAATACCCCTGTAGTAAAAAAAATATTGTTACTATAAAAAAACATTCAAATGTCTAACAACAAAGCCCGACTATGAACCGAAACGTCTATACTAAAAGCTTGTGGATAAAAGTAACGTCCAATAGAGAAGTCCGACTATGAAGACGAACGCCAAAAATAGAATCTTCGGTTGCTTGTAAACGTCTAAAACCAAAACTTGCAAATAAAAAGAAATGTCCAATATTTAAGCGGTTACACATTTCAAACTTTTACACAGGCTCATCATATATTAAAATTTCCAATGAGGAAGCTTAAATCAACTACAAATGTCTAAATAGAAAGCTTAATATATCTTCAAACGTCCAAGATGAAAGCTTCCTTTTCCTAGAAACATCTAAGGTGAAAGCTTTTACTTTTGCAATACAGACTTATCATATCCCAGGAGGAAGCTTAGAACAACTATAAACGTCTAAATAGAAAGCCTAATATATCTTCAACGTCCAAGATGAAAGCTTCTTTTTATTAGAAATGTCCAAAGTGAAAGCTTTTAATACTTCCAAACGTCCAAGAGGAGACCTTTCTATGGCCATGAACATCCAAATGAGAAGCTTGTATGTATGGTCATTAATTTGAGAAAATTACCTCCTACACTATACAATTCGTATTTTATTACATAAATGAAACCTTTTTGTAAATATTTATAATATAGCAAGAACGATTCTTTTTATATGCAGTTTTACTAGAATTTTATTATGTCAATAATTTATATACTTAATAAATAATTAGCTTAATTTAGGGAAAACTTATGAGCTTCCAAAATCATATCACGACACTTTCTCTCTCTTTCACCCTCTCTCTTCTTCTTCTTCTCTCTCCCTCTCTTCTTCTTCTTCTTCTTCAACTGTACGCTTATATTTTTCTCTCCTCCTACAGTTGAAATTTTTATCTGTATTTTTTTTTTGTCGGTTGAAGACGGGCGATCCACGGCTTGGATGAGCACGCGGTCGGCAGATTGATGGAGCTCCGACAGGCGACCACCAAACCAAGGAGGCGCTGGCCCTCCAACGATCGGAGATAGCAGTTCTCCGGCGCTGGCCCTCCAATTAAACTTCGGGAAGGCGACCCCAATTAAGCTTGGGGAAGGTGGAGCTGCCTAAGGTTTCGATGAAGGACTTGATCGCGGCCTCGAGGTCAGGGAAGGAAGGCGGCGGGCCGGGTTCCTCGGATTTGTCGTCAATCCCGCCGGCGTCGGGGGAAACTTGTGTTTATAAAAATTTTTTTATAATGATTTTTTTTCATTGTTTTGGTTTTATTTTAGCTTATATTCAATATATGTATAATTAATGATTGATGATGTTTTAGCTTTTTTGAGATTTTTTTTCGTTTGATTTATTATGTTGTGGGATATGTTGCGTATATATACAATATATTTTTCAGTATATGTTCCTCGTAAGCACAATCACAGTATATGTTGCATGTATAGACAATATATATTCAGCGTATGATTTCGTTGCCCATGCTTCGTGTGTCTATCATCTGGCCTAAAAGGAGAGGAAAGATGTAATTGACCTTAAGTGCTTCATTTGTTTATTATATACTCTACATATACTAAAACAATTTAGTAAAATAGTGATTTATGTTCAGTTTATAATGTGTATATAATATTTATATTCTAAATAAAATTTCAAATACCACAATTGTGGTTAGATAAAAATACTCTGTAAATAAAAAATCATGTTATATACTGAATTATATACTGACTATAAACGCAATATATACTGTTTATTCAAAAAAATTAGTATGTTTGAATATTCTGGGTATATGCAAATATCATGTTTGAATACGTACCAATTTTCTGAAGGTGTATATTCTGGTAGAAAGAATGAGTACATTTAAATTTAAAATTCTAATTCTTTCCTTTTGATATGAACAACATCTTAATAAGTAGGTATACAAACTTACTAAATTTTTTTATTTTCTTCGGTACAAATCATGTACTCCTTTACATGCGCAAATTAAGGGAGGATTAGTATCAATTATTTGGTAACTGATATTTTCTTTTTCACAAATAAATATAATTAATTTGGTAAGGATGCAAATAAAATCTGACCTCTCGCACAAATGCTATTAATTTAAAATCATGTCGTAACTATAAAATTTCCCCAATTAATTTATGATAAAAATGACATTGAAAGCTATCATTGGCTTACTTGAGTTGTTTATGTTGTAAATATTAATTTGTGGACATTACCTAGATATAAGCTTTGTAGGTATGGGCCAATAGCCCATTAGGTCTTTAGTCATGTACATTGTATTCCCTTATATATAGGGTTCAAGTGAATGAATGAGATGGTGATTTAAGGGCGTATTTCTTATCTCTTATTCTCTTCTCTATCTTTGTCTATCTTACACATCGATCTTACATATTGACAATCTGTATTACAACACGTTATCAGCACGAGTACTCTACCATCTAAGCGAACGACGGCGACATCAAAGACGAACGAGCAATCAATGTAAAAATCAAGAATTGATGTATGCCTAGAAAAGAATCGTGTCTTTTCTGTCAAGGTAACATTCAAGATCTATTCAATATCAATAATGATCTAGTAATTTCATCAATTTTAGTTATATTTATTTATCTCCTAAAGAATGAATTGATGATTTTTGTATGAGTTATGTGAATAAATAATTTGTTTGTGAAAATCTCACGATATTATGCTGTGCGAAATTGATGATATGGTTCGTTTTTTTTTTAATACTAATTATATCCTTGTGGGAAATTAATCGCATTAACTTGATGATTTGTTTGCGAATTTAGTTTCATGAACTGTGATTATTTGTTTCGCCCAGTAGAAGGTATATTTCTGAATGAAATCTTGTCGCACAATTTCATGAACTGTGATTATTTGTTTCGCCCAGTAGAAGGTATATTTCTGAATGAAATCTTGTCGCACCCTGCCCCGTCATTGTTCATTTTTCAATGAATTAAATATATGTTGAATTGATGATGATTGATGAGGCATTAGTTATGTTTTGCCTTTTTAGTTTTTACGCATCAAAATTGCCCTATGTAATTGTTGATATTTTCCCTATGTAATTGTTGATATTTTTTTTTTCAGTACGCAATTGTTGATATACACATCAAATTAATTGTGTCACGAGGACAAGTGGCGATGATTAGTTTTTTTCTCAAAATCATGATGTTGCTTTTGCTGGTTTTAAAATAATGGTTGATATCTCTTCAATGTAAGTGTATGGCCATATGTACATTGAATTGAAATTTATTCTTTATTATCACCACTGCGAATGTTAATGGGTAAGTGTTAAACATGGTGGAAATATGAGAGGATGATTATATACAAAAATGGTGGAAATATTGGATATATATTATTGATGCTGCATGTCTCAATTTATGAGCATCTTTATAATATGGTTGGATGAGAAGATAATATTGTACAATGATGAAGTATTATTTAACGAATATCTATCTATCTAAATGTATAAGATTCAATTAAATACTAGTAGTCCTAGAAGGACTCTAATTTAAACAATGATGGATATAAAGATTGAAACAATGTATCGGTTTGTCTGTAAGATGACAATCTATATTTCATTTATCGATAACCTGTAAGTTGACAATGAAGTTCTTATACACTCCCTGAAGGATCTTCTATAAGTTAACAATAATGTTTTTATATACTCCCTGAAGGATCAACACCGATACAAGTATCAAAATAAAAGAGTGATTACACCGTGAGTAAGTTTTGATGACTAATTTTGAATTAAGACGCTATCGAATATTTTATGATTTGTTATGAACATTTTGTATTCCTGAAGTAATACATGAGAATAATGTAATCCAACCAAATCAATACACATGGACTTGTATTAGTGATATAAAAGTACTGCATTGGGATTGTATTAGTGCCAGAAGCACATGTACAAAAAAGTGTAATTTGTCATATGAGATATATGATAGAAAATTATCTCTCGTCTATATGACTATATGTTTCATTGATTTAATTGTCTTATATGAGCATCTCTTGTTTGATATGTATCCGATTATTCTT